TTAATGTTAATTTACGTAACAGCAGCTTAAATTTAAAGACCTTTTACAATAGTGTTACCGATTTCAATCAACACTATCTACTATATACTACTACTACTACTATCTTTAGAAATTTGTTTGTCTATTGTTAATCTCTAATTATTAATTTTTAGGGGTAGAACATTATTTTCAAATTTGAAAAAAGAAAATTTTGAATTATTCACAAATGATGAAGATATTTTTTTTTTTTATTACCTCAGCCTATGCTTGTCCACTGCTGGACATAGGCCTCTCCCAATGATTTCCAGCGGGGACGGTTGATTGCGGCCTGCATCCAACGTTGGATGAAGATATTTTACATAAAAATAAAAAAATATCGGTTTAAAAACATCATTTTTGAAAACGAGTGAAAATTAGATAAGCTTTTTTCTAAAAAGGCGATGATGCGGAGGATTTTTTTGATGCTTGTATGTAAATAGTGTGAATGTTGTAAATATTCTAACTTAATTTTAGCTTAGATATATCATTATATAAATTACGTGTTAATTTGGTCTAGTGTGAGACAGCGGTCTTTAAAAACCTTCTAAAAGCTCTCAGTTTATGTCAGTTTTCACAAACAGTTCATACAACTAATAACTCATATCTAATAAACACATAAATTTCAAAACTACAGACTGGATGCTGACTGAAAGCGATAATGTCGAGTTGATCTTGTATGTTGGTTTGCGCATCTGCTACCATTGTATAATTTCCCGTCTCTAATCTGCAGTGTAACAATAGCAGCGCTGAACCAATGTAATACAATTTAGTACGTCAAAATATGGCGCCGACCCAAATCAAATTGGAAAAAAGGTAGTCCCGCCTACCACGGTACAGTGATGATGAGGACTTATTCGTACAATTTGTCATAGATTAGATGTGTATTATGTGTCTCTTGTTGTTAATTAAAATTAGACGATCTGCATATTTTCAGTATCATGTTCAATAAGTACGATAAGCTTTGCCACGAACTTTTTAAGCTGTGTACTTAATCAATTTTGTTGTAGTTTCCTTCACAGACTGACATTTCTTTCTCTTATAAGCACTCCGTGTGGTGACCGATTAATAATACGGATTATTACCGCCGCTATTTATCGCAAAGGTGTCCTAATATCCGATTAAGGACACAAACTACGCAGGGCAATAGCACTGCAAATAGAAGGAAAACTTGACACAAACTCTAAACCCACCCGTCTGGCCAGCGTGCTATAGTATTCCAAAACTTCCTTTCTAGGAGAGGCTTAAGTCTGGCAGTGGACAATAAAAGGCTGTTGATGTGATGTAATAGGCAGCTATTCAAACTATTTGACAGGCCTATTGAACTTATGGGGTTCCCACACGGGGGGGGGTCGTCTACTCGTCTGTAGATGACCCGAGGTATGTCGGGGCACCAGGGACTTCCTTTCTAGGGTATACCTGGTTCCCCGGCTATTAGTACCCGGCGAAGGCGTGCGGTTTTAGTCGGTTCGATTCCGACATGCCACCGACAGGTGGTATCCGAGGGGATTTCCGCACGGAAAAAAAAAAAAAAAAAAAAAAAAAAAAAATGGCCTATTGAACTTGTGGTTAGTGACCCTGACCGGAGGTCGTTGGTTCGATCCCCACCCAGAACAAAAAGTTGTATGTAACCACGATCATTTCTTCTGTTTTTGGGTGTGAATTAAGTATTTACTATATTATGTATGTATTTAAAAATTAAAAGTATGTTTATCAGCAGTCTGGTTACTATAACACAGGCTCTGCATAGTTTGGGATCAGACGGCCGTGTGGAAAATGTGTTAAGTTATTATTTATTTTAATTAGGGTATTTTATTATTAATTGTAGTTAGTCAGTCTTCTTTAAAAAATTTTTTTTTCACATTTTTCACAAAAAAAAATCCTTAGAATTTGTACTCTACCTGCCTTTTGAATAAAGAAATTCTATTGAAATCCTTGATTCAAAAGGCACATTTATCGTGTATTTCAATGGATATCTTTTGATATACAGAGAAACACTTGATAGATTTCCAACAAATTTTCTGTGAATGTGGACAGAACAAAATCAAAGTACGTAGCCACAAAGAAAATCTAATATGTTTCACCAAACTTTATCGGGTTGTGGCTGAACTTTATTTGCACAGACATTGTTTTGTGCTCTGAACTGTATTTTGTACAAATTCAATCACACAAAACTACGCCACAACTATTTTGTATTTATGAAAAAAAAAACTTAGTGATTTTCAAGTTACATATTCATACGTACTCGTAAATATATTCCTTTGTACGTATTTTTTTCTTAAATTTTCGAATGCAGGAATGGGAGTTATAATACTTAAACTTTGAATATAGAAGAAGTTTTCCACTTCTTCTAACTACATAGTTCTATAAATAATAGCTAAATAAACTTTTAACTAGTATTCATAATTAGAACTTTGTATAACAACAGTAACATAGGTCTGCCATTTAACTGCATGAAGCAAGCACTCCACTATCATGGGGATTCAGAGTACCTGAGGCGGCTAGTGCCAGAATAATTAACGAAGAGTACCGTCATGTACGAGGACCGAAATAGTTTAAGGACGTTGACCCATGTGCGGTGTTCCGTAGTGGTCTGTTTTCGGACCACTCCTGTGGAACATGGGATACATCTGAGCCCTTCGAGGTCACCTCCCCCCGGACTAGGCGTAATTTGTAAGGCGAACTTTTAATAAGCGACGTGGTCGGGCCCATTGAGGAGCTGGGCTTATAGGTAGCCCTGGATAAGACGGAGGCCCTCATATTCCATGGGCCCCGTCTTGATCCACGCCTCGGTGCCTCAATCTTGGTCGATTCGGTCCTCGTACCGGTTAGGCAAAGATGAAGCATCTAGTAACGGCATTTTCCCTAAGTACATATTTATATTTACGTTTGCACGATATAAGTATCTCTGACATAATATGTATTTATCAGACAGTTTTATAGATAAATGAGATAAAACGTGTCGCCCTCGTTTTATACGCCTCCGTGTAGAACGGAAAGAAAAATAAAACAATTTGTGTATTTATTATACTCTTTTTGTTTTTTTTTTGCACATTCGGTACGAAGACAGACTTAATGTCTATGAATTCTCTACAATGCAGAGAAAGAAGTAGGTGCCAGTTCTACGTGTTCCTATTGAAGGTCACGATACGTTTACGGCCAATAATCTGTATTAGATAGATAGGGGTGAATTTTGTGGTATGATTCAGTTCACCTGTTATACAAGCACAGGTTTCGCCATTGTGTAGTTATTCTCTAGTTGCAGTAAATATTTTATACAGTTTTACTTAGTTTGAGAATGCCTGATAAAGAGGCAGGACGTTTCACCTCTTGAAATAGGGCCTCATCCTGTCTGGAACTAATATAAATAGGTACAAAAGAAGTTCTGGTGGCTCTAAAATGAATCAAAAAGAAAACAATCAGAATACTTCATTCTGAAATCACGCGTTGTATATATTGTGTGCTAGTTCGGTAAATACGCAATCTGTTACTGAATTATACAGCTTCGGACAATTAAACTAAAAGGTCACAATTGTCGTCTACTCAAATACTCAAACATAACTATAGTTAGTTGAATATAACTTAAACTACGAGTACCGTGCCCACGGCTTGAGTTAATTGCCAACATAACTAACAACTTTATTATTATATTATATTATATTATTATTATTTATAAAAAGTTAAAAATGAAATCATTTTTAATAGTTATATTTGCGCAATAATTATATTTCTGAGTCAGTGACTTACTCGTAGAAGTTCAGACTTAAATAGTGCGCTGTGTAGATCCTATCAACCCGTCTGCGTCTTTCAAATTTGTCCCGTTTTTGCAACATTTTTTAATGATGCTCGGCTCCTATTGTAGTATGATGTCATATAGCCTATAACCTTCCTTGATAAATGGACTATCCAACACCAAAATATTTTTTGAACTCGAACCAGTAGTTCCTGAGATTACCGCTTCAACCAAAAAAACAAACAAACCTTTCAGTTCAGAATAATAATTTACATAGATAATATGTATTCACATCACATCATCACATCAACAGCCTATAACAGTCCACTGCTGGACATAGGCCTCTCCTTAGAAAGGAGGTTTTGGCCTACTATTCCAAGCTGGCCAGACGGGTTGGTACGGTTGGTTGTTTCAAAATTTCCTTCTCTTTGCAGTGCTGTTGTCCGTGCGTAATTTGCTCCCTTAGTCGCTTCTTACGAAACCCACAGGATGAATAGGGGTGGTGACATTCCGTATTCTTAATCCGTCACCACACGGACCGTATATGTATTGGTATAGATAAAACATAATGCAACCAGTTTTATGTGAAAACCTAGTTACATATTAAACGCAGAAACAGCCAAGTAAATAGAATAAACACATTATTCCCACAAATACTCGCAGTTCCCTTGAGAACGTTTTATTTTATATCATCATATCAACAGCCTTTAATAGGCACTGTTGGGCATAGGCCTCTCCTTAGAAACGAGGTTTATTTTTATTTGCCATATTGTAGGCAATTACTTCTATTGTTTATAAAGCCTAAAACAACATAACTCTAGGAACTGGAGATAAATAATAGTTTTAAAGAACATAAGTTTTTATTCTGTTTAATTTTATTACAAATATTTACAACTCGGTACTAAAATTTACAATTAACAAGTGAAGGTCAGTTAGAAGTTTTTTAAATTAAGTGTTTATTTTTGCTGCAAAAAAAACAGTTTTTTAATATTTAATTTTAAATAAGAAACAAAGCGAAAAGCCTATTAAATATAACGATTGACTGCTTTATTTGACGGAGTTTCTAAAACTCATAAAGTTTCTCAAGAATCCAAACAAAAGTAATTAGTATACGATTTAGCTAGTAGTCCAGTAAAATGCCAGTACTCAGAATCGAAATTGTGGTGTACAATGGTGGAGAGGTCCACCATTGTACACCACAATTTACGTAAATAAAGTAATTAAATAAATAAATAAATCTTCTTCTTGACAGTTCTCCACGCAAAAGCGGCTATGTGGTCGCGCAAGCAGTCGGTGTGCAGTGCGGTGAGCGGTGCGTCAAAGGGTGATGAAGCGGAACTGCCTCTGGGCAACGGAGTGCAACTGTACCCATTTGCAATAGCATTAAGGGTACGGGTTTTGCAGGTAATTAAATAAACCCTGGTTAAATTACTGTGAATTATTTCCTCTTAACTTTAATTTCAAAACATATTTTAGTATGTTTCACTTTCAATAACTTAATCCTGAAAAGAAAACTCACATCAAAAAAAGGAAAAAAAAACACTTTTTCTGGAGCACGGAGGGACTTTAAAAATCATGGTGAGACACATGTCAAGCATATGCTGGCCAAGTTCCTTTTCTATATTACATGTCTCACGTCCTGTGAAGTATCTTGAATGTCGTCAATTTTTATTTAGAATATTATCTATTTATTTTAATTCTAACCGACTTCATAAAAGTAGAAATCATAAATTAGCTGTATTTTTCTTTAATGTTTGTTACATCAGAACTCCGTAATTTTTTAACCAATTATGAAAACTTCTTCTTTATTCAATGTTATATAATTTTTGACAGAAACTTAAACAGAGGATAGAATACCTATTAAATAAATACGAATCCAAAAATCGTTTCATATTAACCGATTTCCTTGAGATTTCATTTTCTTAGGCCTGTTTTACTTCGAAGAAGACGTCGGCGGCGTAATGAGCAGCCGACGGGACCGCAGGCCGCCAGGGAGTGGGGACCTCTGGTGGCAGATTAATTGCTGCGGTAGGGGAAAGGATGGCAGCCTGATCGCACTGAAAATGTGATCGGGCTGCAACATCTGGATAGGCTGAGAGGCGGGGAAAAGCCACTGGCTTTCCCTGAGATGGGGCCTAGTTAGGTGCGGCGTCGATCTGGGGGACCTGAAATCACATGGCCCGGGTTCTCTCCAGAGGAGGGCGGCTAAGGCTGGCCGTCGGAGTGGTTTTTAGTGGAATCACCACATACTCCTGGCTCCTATATCCCGGAGATCCAAAGGGATTTTCCACTCTGTCAACAAAAAAAAAGGCCTGTTTTACTTAAATGTCTCATTGTACTAAAAAGTGTAAATGTTCACTTCATCCTTATAAATTATTTCCGCAATTTATATTTCTGCAAAAAATTATTATATGATAACTTATTGTTCGCTGGAAATAAAACTTATCAAGGAATTGACTTTACAAACACATTTAAGAAGATAAAGGACGTAAAGTTTGCCACCGGGACTGGAGCAATCTTAGTAAGTACTCATGGGAAGAATGATTAAAGCGACACCCGACAAGAGACTCCTGTTGTACAAGTAATTAGAAAACTTCGGGTTCGTTTTAAATTTAGTAAGACTTTATAATCAACCGACTTTGGAAAAAGAAGGAGGTTCTCAATTCTGTGGTATATTGTTTATATTTTTAAACGCAAATCCCCTTCATTTATGAACCGATTTGGAATTAGATTGATGAGAGGTTTTTGGGGCTCCGGTAACCTAACGCATTCTGTAAAAAAGCATTGATAGAACTGCTTAACACCGGTTTTCCGTGTAGCCTTGGTATCACTTCGGTCGAGCCTGGCCCGAGCTGTACCGAAGCATGGTCAATGGTATTTTTAAAACATTCTGTTTGTATTTTTTGCATTCTCACAAAAGCTTTTTGTAACATTGATGATAACCAAAGATAATCAAGTGTTTTTTATGGTAATTCTGTGACATATTGTGGTGTCATTAGTGATGTAAAATGAGGAACAAAACTGAAGCAAACAATATATAAATACAATCTTTCGGTGCAGAACTTTTTGAAGCGTACAAACCAACTTAACATTTTCATATAAATATATATAAATTTAGATATAATAACCTCTTTATTTTGGAATATCCATAATGTTCGTATAAATTACAATAATATATTATTGTACAACTAAATAATATATAAGATACACTAATAAAAAAAAAAACAATATCTGTAAGCTCCGGCTGAATTATTTTGTATAGCACTTAACCGTACATACGGGCTGTATGATTCCCTGAAAAGTAATAAACCTTTCAAAGGGTGTAAATTATGGTTATAATAAATTAAACATTATGACTGAGAGCCATTAAAATAAACACAAACCAACGCTTATATTTGTTTACGAAACGTTGCTCGTACGCGATTTAATCATTCTATTTGTAGCTATCCTTGTTCGTGACCGACCATTTCATCATAATCACGTTCAAGACGAAGCACCGGTCGTATCTTCCACTTGAAAATAAATACAACTTCACTTGCTTTGTATATCTCTGGAATTCGATTTGTGACTAACCGACATTTATTACCTTGAAATTTATATTTTTAGGAACTTTTAAAATTTCACGGACTTAGAGATTTCATAGATATCATTGTATATTACAAACGATATTGGTGCCTTGCCTTTGGAACATTCGCCTGTATGACGTTTAGTAGTAGTCGAAACGTTAAGTGTGCAAAGACTAAGTGGTGCTTACCGCAAATGGGCCAACACGACCGGAGTCATACCACCACAGAAAAGGAATAATATTACAAGGTCTGTCGGTGGTACATCCAAAGAGATCCTTTGACACACACATAAACGATAAATTATATTTTACACATCTAAAGAAGTCTACGCTAATTCGTCCCACAGGATTTATTGAATATAAATCCTAAACGCTACATTTAGTAAATACAACCTTATGAATTTTAAAATAAGGTGGCGTTTCACGCGAGTTTTATGGTTTTAAAGGCGGTACGGCAAGAGGCAGTAGTGATGTAGTAATTTTGTCATACATCGAAAAACCCCTACCTGAATATTTTGTGAGTAAATTATTTATTTATCTGATATTCATTTGTGGCTTCTTATTTGTGGCACATATTGTTTAATAAAGGAGAAGTGAAAGACTCCATAGTTTCCAGGTGTTATTAGTATCAGTAAGGGGATATTATTATATCGTTTCAAGGCCTCACTGAATATTTGGTTAAATTTTAGCGATCCAGAAATCAAGTCACATGAAATATAGTAAAAGTGAGGTTAATAATAGATTAACAATTATAGTTATAGTTTTTTTACATTATAGTTTTTTGTTGTTATTTGCGAAATATCTTTGAATAGCTTCGGTTTTATAATGGTTTTATGCATGGAGCGCAAGTAAAGAGCCTCCATGTGTGATGTGTTGAAGTCGCCACAGTCGAAGGCAAAACTCTATATCCAATATCCTGCACTTAGAAGCTGGATTTGAATGGGTACTTAAAGGCTGAGATGCACGGCACTGACGAATAACTAATAAAATCGTCTAATCATCCAAGACTTTTAACTGCCAAGAGTGATACTGAAAACAAAAGCTATGGTACAATTTATGCAGCGATCCATGCGGGTCAATATCCAAGGCGTATTCAATTATCCAAACTAGAGAGCCAGGTAATTCAAAGTCGAATCGATCCGTCGAATAGTCCTTTATTATATGCAAAGCCGAGGTCGTGGGGTTATACAAACGATTGATAAGCCCTTGTCACTCGATTTCCATACATATTCAGAGATTTTACCGATTTATTCATAAGCTCCTAACTAAGAATCCCGGCGTGTATTTAATCGATTATTTGGTTTCACAATTTATTTTATCTTTTCTCGCTTCCTACATCGAAACATGGTACTATATTTTGTGATTTCCTTTAGAAAAATATAACGGTTTTTTTAATACACATTTCAATTATTCCCCAGGATTCCCCATCTCCTTTAAACTTTTTAATAACTTCTTGTAAAAACTTAATATGTTATTTTACAAAATTTTAAAATTCTGTCTGTGCTCGTTTGCTTAAAAATGCGTATTTACGGAAAGAATTCCCTCATGTCCTAATATACAGATCTGCCAAGACGAGATAAGTGAAGTACAAGGGCACTACCTACCTTTTAAGAATTTCATCGTTTTTTTTTAACTGTCATAACTTTGGTTCGGATTATTTTGTTTATACTTAATAAAATAAAATAATTCTAACCTAATACCCACCAAATGTTATTTACTAATCTATGCGCTCTAACTAAAATAATCAGACAAAGATATCTGTATAAAATTTCAGCGATCGCTGTTGCAAACCACAATTTCGTTTAGTTCGAAGAGTTCATTTGTTTTATTTCATTTCGTTGGCTTCGCCACAGTGATTGGATCGTGAATTTATTTGTATTATCGCTCTGACTAAGTTCCCTTTCGCGGTATACAAAGTATCTCGCCAGTCCACATCATATTGAAAACATTTTTAACGAATATGAAAAATTATACTATCATTTTATATCTAAGAGTGCGCACGTATCACAAGTCTTGGATTTGTAGTGTTTTATCTATGATCCCAAGTCCTATCATCCTCTTGGCACATTCGCTAGGTCACAATCGGAGCCATCAGATTTCTAAGCAGGATACGTAAGCAGTATAGTTGAAGTGCACTGGTAGTTCTAAAATTCAACGATAAGCCGTCACCAGATGGATGACCTGCTTATGACTACTCGAGGAAAAAAAAAGAAAAAAAAGTCTCATTTTTTTAAAATTACAGTAAAAAAATTGTTTACTCTAGGAAATTGACACCCCTTATGATATTTTTTTCCCCCGGGGGGGTTTTTTTTTTTTCCCCCAAAAATTTTTTTTGCCTGTAGTTTTAAAAAAAAAAAAAAAATATTTTTTTTTAAAATTTTTAAAATTTTTTTAAAAAAAAAAAATAAATTTAAAAAATTTTTTTTTTCTTAACCTTGGGGAAATTTTTTTTTTAAAAAAAAAAATTTTCCCCCCGGGAAAAACCCCCCCCCTTTTTAAAAAAACCCCCCCCCCCCCCCCCGGGAAAAAACCCAAAAAAAAAAAAACCCTTAAAACCCCCAATTTAATTTTTTTTCCCCCTTTTTTTTTAAGGGGGTTTTTTTTTTTTTAAAAATTTTTTCCCAAAAAGGGGGGGGGGCCCCCCCAAAAAACCCCCCAAAAAAAAAAAGGGGGTTTTTTTTTTTGCTGGGGAAAAAGGCCCGGGGGGGGAAAAACCCCCCTAAAAAAAGGGGTTTTTCAAAAAAGGGGGGGCCCCCAAAAAAGGAAAAATTTTTTTTTGGGGGGGGAAAGGGGGGGGGGAAAAAAGGGGGAAAAAAAATTTTTAAAAAAAAAAATTTTT